TCTTACAGGATGGAGAAAATTGGTCTTGGTGGAGGTTTGCACTCTCTGAGTGCTTCTAGTTGTAGAGTGTTTTAGTTGTACACGAATTCTTATGACTATAGTTTTCTTTTCGGGTAATGTCTTGCCTCTCTTAGCAAGGCAGACTGAACTTCTTTCTGAACATGTTGGTTTTTTCAGCTCAGGACTTGTGCAGTTCCCGCCACCTTTATGAATATTCCAGTTTGTCCTCATACGAAGCTCTTGGATGACGCCATAAATGGCAGGCGGGGCTTTAGCTCTCCCTGGGTGTGAAACATGGGCTTCTTCTCACTCTCTATTAGAAGGGCTTTGAATAATCACCACTCACCTCCCTTTTTATTTGTAACAACTGGCTTATTAATGCAGGGCCGCCTGAAAGGACAGCTGAAACAGGAACAAGGGTAGAGGCCGTCTGGGGGCAACTGATGATAATTGGTAGGCTTAAAGCATTGGTGGAGAGACAAAAATGGATGAATAATTGAATGTGTGGCAGTGAAAGCAGCCTGGGGATGCTCTGGTGGTCAGCTGTTAGTTGAAGGGGTTTCAGTTYAGAGCTGGATGGATTAGACAGCTGGATAGATTTATTTTCTTTACAAAATTCACCTCACTTCAWTTATTTCCCTCTTATCTCTCCCTTCTTTCTGTTTGCTTTCTTAATTTCTTTCCATGTTTTCTTTTTGTCCCATGTAGCGTGCTGTAGTAGCATTCAYAATACTATCCCTTCTTACCCTCCTGGTAATTAACAGATCTTTTAAAAAATCTTTTAAAGCATTTAAATTAATTTTGCAAAGCTTTTACAAGTATTTTGATGAATATATAGATTTAATTTACTAAAATTTTTATTGAGAACCTAATWCTTGGAATTTTTCTACACTAACTTCAAGACAAGATATTTATTGTTGTAGACCACTTTTGTTTTATCCTTTTTTTTAGTTCATCACTATAATCTATTATAATCTAATTTACTTTCATTCATGAACATATGAGTGATTGTTTAACATTAAAATGTGTTGAACTCATTACTACTTTTCTTTTGAAGGAAATGGTTTTCGTTTGAAGGCTGAGACTCCCCATAACCTCTGCCCACACACACACACACACACACACACACACACACACACACACACA